ACTGTCCATACTTTTCATGTTGAATTAGAGCATATCATTTTCAAAAGTCTATTTTTTTCAAACAAATGTCCCCTTTCCCCAAGCTGAAGAGTTATTGTGTACAAAATATAGTTTATTATTATGAAAAAATAAGAAAGTCACTGATTGCAAATTATCTTATATTTAGCTTTCTAGATTTGTTAAAGAACACACATGAGGTTTTTAATAGCTTTATGTTCCACTTCATAATTGGCCCATTCTCTACTTCTGTATCTTATTAAGGAGAAAACCTCACGTTGTCACCAAGGATACCAAGTCTATAGGCTCTAATATGGGGTTAGGAAGAAGAATAAAGGGAAAAATAAAGAAAGGATCCCTAACAAGGCTCAGGCCCAGGAACAACTTTCAGTGCCCGCCTACTTGTCTGAATATCTGGGTTGTAAGAAGTATAAACTGAGCAACCTTAATTAGAAAATCTCTGAAATGCTGCAAAATCTAAAACCTTTTGGTTTCCAGTTATTATATTCAAAACACTTTGGATTTTGGATTTCCAGATTAAGGAGGATCCCCTGGGATAGTCTATGGAAGTATTCCGAAGTGTAAAAAGGTGATGAGATTGAAAACATTCCTGTTTTCAAGCATTTCAGATGAGGAATATTCGATGTGTGTAACCTTCCATTGGGTGCCCCTAGAGTTGCTGTGGGAAATGCAAGATATGTCCGAGACTTAGGGGGTATACCCTGATTTTATGTCAATCATACAGGAGGCTGAAAAGTGTTCAGTCTTTTATTGAGATGTTTGGTTGAGTCAAGCATTTGTGTTTCTATCTTCAATTTTTCTCACTAAAGACTTGAAGCAGAAAACCCATGGAAAGAATATTTTTAATTCTTGAAATTTCTTGCAAGTCACTGATAATTAACACTACACATACATATGAAATATGTTACAAAACATGGTCAAGTAATTTACTAAAATGTTTTTGGGTTATTACAAGGTAATTATTACTATTTAAGTGTATTTGTCGTTTTGCTCGTTCAACATTGTGCTCTTGAAGACTGACACTCATGTAGTGTCTTTTTGAGACTCACTAGCTGTTCCTTAACTGAGGAGGGATCAAATCTTACTCTGGTCCTTTTGGGAGGACTTTTCTGAAGACCATCCTGTTGTCTCCCATTCTATGTCTTACAGCTTATGAGAATAAAAAGAAGATCAAAAGAATAAAATGAATTTGACTCATTTTACACATTCCTGCCACCCTGTGTCTCCTTTATTAGGAGTTAGCTTTCAGTTGTCAAGTTTCATCCCTATGAAACATAAGAAATAATGTAGAATTCTCAATAATAGAAAAATTCATGAAAGTATTCATGAAACTTGACATCTGCTGAACAATAAGGAATAATGTAAGGTATGAAACACAAATAGCATATTACATAATTGTTGCTTGATAATGAGAACACTACGTAGAAACATGAAAGCATCTTTAGGATATAATGAAAAAGAAAAAATAGATGAATATAATAAGTAGGCTGTATGTAAAGATGGTATGGATATGTGGGTACTTTAGAAAGAAGGAAAAATGGAAACAAAGAATAAATAGTGAAATTTTTGGTGAAAAATTTTTTGAAATCCATGCATAGGTTTTTCATAATTTGTATTTTCTATGGACTTTTTGGAGAGACCTCATATGCATGATTTCAAGTTTTTTCACCCCAAGATAAACCTATCGTTTATTTCTACTTTCTATAGCAAATTCTTATATAGAAGTTCTGTTAGTATAATGAGATTGTGGATTTTCAATTTTTTTGTGATGAAATATAGTAGTGGGAATGATGATATGGGTGTAGAGGCAATATATTAATCAATATATTATATATTTGGAAAAATCATTTAAAAGAGTGGTTGTTCCATTCCCATGTTTTCCAGTTCAGTAGATACTAAATTTCATAACACTGAAAACATTTGCAAAGGCAATGGCTAGTAGGGATTACAAGAGCCCTGACTGAACCATGTCTGCATTTGGTTTGTCAAAATGATAAATCTTAAAACACTTGTGTAATATGCTCCAGCTTGGTTATCTTGACTGAATTCACACTTAGTAATCAAGACACAGTCTAGAAAAAGAACATGGGAATGATAATTAGGAACGTAGAGCAACAGAGAGTCAATAGAGAAATTTCAAAAATAAAATGCCTACTTAAAATCAAATAGAAATAACTATTTGGATTAATAGCAAAATAAAAGATATCAGTGCTTGTCCAAGTGTATATCTGGAAGCTGTGGAAGGTGACCAAGAACAACAGTTGCCCATGTTATATTTACATTTATAATTTGCTGAAAACTGTTAATTATGATGAACTTCTTTCCTTTCTCAAAGGTATTGAGACTCACATTATTTCTTCTTACTCTTCTTTTCAAATTTGCAGCAGTATTATTGATATGGGACTTAAGACTACTTTGTACCATATAGAAAAAAGTTGCTTTATGTAAGATGTACATCCATATTTCACACATTTTATTCTATCTTATCAAAGATAAACTTACATGTCAACATTTATAGACCATATTTTAGAACAGGAAAGCTGTCCCTGGGATGTGTGCTGAAATACCTTAAGTTTCTAAAATAGGTGAATGAAGAGAAAACTTGAATTAGGTTTCTTCTGAAATAGACATGGAAAATATGATAAAGTATCATATCTCCAAAACAATGATGGATACTCAATTTGGAGTTTGGGGTGTGTGTGTGTGTGTTTGGGGTTCTGAGAGGGAAAGAGAGAGTGGGGTTCTGAGAGGGAAAGAGAGCGTGGAGGCAGGGGGAATAGTTTGAGGTGGTTCCAAAAATCCAGAAGATAAGTTTTTGAAATCCCAAACCAAACCTGACACCACCAGCATCTCCTTCATGCCCCATAGAAGATTCACTGTGTCCCTATGAACTCTCTCCATCTTGGTCTGCCTTCACTTCTAAATACATTCACAGTAGTAACTCCATTAAAGGAAATCTTTATTCCTAAGGGTTTTATACTTTTTAAAATCATTCTAGAAATTTGATTCCCTTCTTCCCTAATTCGTTACAGCAATTAAAGTTACTCATCCCCATTACCAATCCAAAGTCAGCTACATTTAGTGCAAGGCTATGTATGGTATCACTTTGGGCTATACTAGAATTTATAAATTATCCTGAAAATGTTTTACAGCTAATATTTTAATTTTACTCCCAGGAATATGATGTGTTAAATAAAAATTTTTTTGGTATTAAAACACATCTGCCATTATACACCTACAAAATTTTTTGAGTACTTGTCATTCCATCTATGTTTCATGATTTTATTACAAATTGCACAACTTTAGCATGCATTTTGCTGTAACTCATTTACTGGCAGTATAAAAGGTATGGTTAGTATAATATCACAGAATACTCAAAATGGAAATGGATGATACAAATAAGTGAGTGTAAACCTGTGCCACTCTTCATAGAATAGGAAACTGAAGTATTAAAAGATGAAATTTGTCCAAAATCATGCACCTAATTTTCTGACATTTAACTCGAACTAAAAGATTTACATGTTTATTCTAAAACTTGCTATGACAGTAGTAATTTTTAAAACATGATTCTTGAGACAGAACAAGTGCTACCCTGAAAAACTGCAGAGTTGTTTTTGTAATACAGACAAGTGTGCTCCAAATTTTTGTCTTCAAGTTTCCTTTTGGAGAAAGTGGTAAACTGACCACCTAAAAATCATCATTATTTGAAGGATTTCTGATATGCAAGATAAATTCTATTGCCATTTCTATATATAATGCAATATTTCTTTTCAAAAGAGGTCAGATGGTATTGTGCTTGGTTCTGTCATATCTGTCATGGTTGAACATGTGAAGAAGGAATCACACTTTAAGACACCGTTGAGACTTTTTGCTCCCTGCCTCCCCCCAGGAGTGAAAATGCATGAAATAAAGAGATTTTGTAATGTAATGTTCAGTGACAAGGTTAGCTTAATCAAATCTGGACTTCAGTTTGATCTCATAGATTAAGTATTACTTCACTGGCATTTACAGTCTGTGAAGGTGTCAAACAAATGAGTAAATAACAGTTCAACCATTGTGTTTCATACAAATCCTGTACATGATCAGGACTAGTGTGTTGACTATCATTTTCAAATTTTAACAGACTTGTGGGAATCATGAAGATCAGTTCATATCTCTCAGAAACACTGAAGACCTTTGGGTGTCGATGTAAAATTCATTTTGTCTTGATGAAAACAAACTCTAATCTATGAAAACATTACATTTAAGTTATTTTGTACCTGCTGAGGAAATTATGTGAATAATTGTAAATGCTTAAAGTTTCAGAGAAATACCAAGTAAATGAATTTAGATAAAACTTTAAGAAGTAATCTGTCTAAAAGTATTACTTTTCACATAGCTTATCACACTTTATTGAAATCATGATCTTGTCAGATGCCACAAAATTCAATTACATAAATCAGCTGTCTTTAATTTCCCTTTCTAAAAGATGAGGCCTTCTGGGGGGGACCCGAGTATTCTGTTTTTGTGGGGTATTTTTTTCTCTTAAATCAGTAAATACAATGTGTGAAAAGATTTTCACCAGAGAAAAATCGTTTGTGCTCTGGAGCACTGCTTTTTCTGTGAGCTGCTTCAGATGCAGGGCAGCTCATGTCCTGGGGATGCTCTGGTGGTGGCACCTGCAACCCACTCTGGATTCAGGTTGCTGTTAGGAGGTGCTGGATAGTATTCATTTGGGTTATTTCACAAAGCATTGTTTCAAGTCTGTTAAGAAGTAACTGTAACTGCTTCCCTCCCTCCCCACTGCTTCTTCCAGCATCCATAACCCTCAACAGCCTTCTCTAAAAGCCGTCCCAACATGTCTATTTACATGGCTCTCAGGCACCATCACATACCAGGTCCATTTCTAATAGTGCGAAGGCTCTTGGAGCAGAGCAGCGGTCTTTCTTTGGGAGCTGGGATTTAGTCCAGTCTACCAGCACAGCGACTCTTGTGTGCAAAGCTTAGACTATGGTCTCATGGTCCCACCTGCCTTGGCTCTGATTGATGTAACAACAGTACCTGTCATAGGGGCTGTTCTGCTTGTAGGAACAAACGATGATGCTGTCCTGGGGCACAAAGAAGATGCTGTCCTCCGGCTCGGGGCAGTCGGATCTGTCCCAGGCTGAACACTTGACGTCCAAGGCACTATAGGTGAGGGAACTGCCAGAGGGACAGTAGCCATCCAGGTATCTAGACGTCTCCTCCCGGTGCCCACTCTGGACCAGACTCTGGCAATCTCCTTCCTCTGTGGGGGTAGGAGTGGTGATGGAGCTGGCTACAGGCACCTCACTCTGCCCCTGGGGGAGCGGCTTCCCCCTGAAGCCCACTTTCTTGGCCAACTCATCCGAGCTCCCCTTGCCGGACTCCAGGTCTGAAGGGGTCCTCAGCAGCTCCACCACCTCCTTGTCCTTGGGTTTCCGGAAGCAGGGCAGCTTACGGACCCACAGCAGCTCGTTCTCGGGCCATTTGGTGCATCCCTCAGTCTTCCTAGCCAGGGCAATGGCTGCGATGCCTGGCAAGCAGATGGCTGGCCCGATGGCCAGGAGGGGGATATTCCCCAGTGTCTCTCCTTTCATCCCGGAGACAGTGAACATAAAGCCAAAGACCAGGAACACACTGACCAGGGCCACCACCAGCCCAGTCCTCGGGTTGATGTCATCAGGCCGCATCTTTCAATCCATCCAGGTTGGAGGCAGCTGGCTAGCCAGGGAACAGGCTTCCTCTCTGCTGTCAGAGCAGAAACCAAAGCGGGTTAAAAAGGCAGATCCAAGTTAGTGTCCCACATGCCAACTCCGTTTCTTTCTCTCTCTCTCTCTCTCTCTCTCTCTCTCTCTCTCTCTCTCTCTCTCTCTCTCTCTCATTGTTTCTATTCCTCACGGTTCTTTGCCGTCTGTTTTCTTCCTTTGGCTCAGTCCCTTTCTCATGCTCCATTTCCCTCACCTCCCCTTCCCCCCTCCCAAAACCCACTGTGCCCACTAGGATCACCGAGCTACCTGGCTCCTGCAGTCTTCGAGCAAAGGGCAAGAAGCCGGACTGAAGTCTCCTTAGGAACCTCCACCACAGCTGCCCCCCTGGGCGCGTTCCCTGGCTTTTGGCAGAAAAGCCTGGTTTTCCTACTGACTCCGCATCCAGGGGTTGGGACGCGGCCGTGAGTGAGTCCCAGTGAAGGGTGGATGTGGGTCGTCTGGTCCCCCAGGGCTCCAGGAGCAGACTGGAGTCACGGACGCGCAGCCCAGCGCCTGGCTCTGCGCGCTGAGCGCCAGCCGCCGGCAAGAAGGAGGGCGCACTTGGTCTGGGGAAAGGGAGCGCGGTGCGGTGCGCGAGTCTGGCCCTGTTACATCACTGGTGGGGGCGCGAGGGCTCAGATCTTGTGGTGGTGGGGTGGGGCCGAGGTTAGGGGGATTACCCAGCCAGCGGAAGATGCGGAAGGTACTGCCGGCCAGGGTCGCTGAAAGTCCGGGCACCGCTGACTGCCGGGAGCGCTGAGCAGGAGGGCGTCCCGTGCTTCTGTGTGGGAGTGCGAAGCTACCAGTGGCGGGAAGCGCTCACCTCAAGTGGATTTGCCTGCAGAGCAGTGAAAGGAATAAATGTCCAAGTCTGTGCTCCCAGGGGTGAGGTGCTAGCTAGAGGATGCCATCGGGGATCCATACCCTTCTCAGCAGCACTGCCCTAGGCTCTCATAACTAACCTCTCAGTGGCCAGTGCCCTGGGGTGCTGCTGGGTCTGCATCCCCTCAGCAGGAATCTTGTGGAAGAGCAGGCTTCCTGGGCTGAGTGGATGGTGAGGGGTGCAAGCAAGGAGTTGCTGGAGTCCCTTCCCCTGGCCTTCTGCCTTCAGACTCCAGAGAATGTGTCTGTGGAGCCCTCTGCAACAGGACATGGTGCCAGCCCCGTTAACAGGGGCTAGGGAAGGAAGTATTCCTTGCCTGGGTGCAGAAGTCATTCCCATCTTGACTTTTGCTCATTTCAGGCCTTGGAGATCGCTTTCCTGCTTGCTGATGCCACAGAAGAAAACCCTAGTTTTCTTTCCCATTTGGTCACCAGTCCCTGGTGGTGGATGGCGTCTTCTGCTCCGGGGGATTAACCTGTTGAACCATAGCGCCAGCCTCATGAATGTATCTCTTAATGGCATTTTCCAGGAGCTGTTAAAGTCCCTTCAGAACTAAGTTTGTGTATTTTTAGTGTGTCACCATAATCAGTGTCTCTGTCATGCAAGGCAGAGTCAGATCATCCAGGAGCTGTTTGTAGAACTGGGGATGTTTGACTTTATCCACCATACAGTGAGGAACGGTGCAAGTGTATTAAGCTGGATGGAGTCCAGAACTGTTCCATCGTTGCTGGTGACATCAGGCCTGGGACCAGGCAGATGTATTAGCAGAGCAGTACAGTAAGCCAAGCAAGACCTGACAATGTACCTGAATAATGCCTGGCTGGGAGAATGCAACTGAAGGAGTTTCAGGGTTGAAGAGAGTGCTGTGGAGCCCAAGGAAGTCAAGTGGAAGGAGGAGGAGCCAGGCTTGGCCCCCAAGTTTCCCCACCTCAGATTTCAGCCTTCTGCTATAAGCTGCAAGTGAACCTGGGAAATGGAGTTTATGGTATCTTCCAGATTCATTTTTGGTCTGAAAAAGAGGACTTTATTTTTCTTTTAAAGAAATTATTTTTATTTGAAAGGCAGATTTACAGAGAGAAGGAGAGGAAGAGCCTCCATCTGCTGGTTCACTTCCCAAATGCCCACAATGGCTGGAGCTGGGCCAATCCAAACCTAGAAGCCTCCTTTGGGTATCCCACATGGATGCAAGTTGTTGGCAACTTGGGCCATCCTCCACTGCTTTCCCAGGGACATCAGTAAGGAGCTGGATTGAAAATGGAGCTGAAAGGAACCTCACCTTCCTTTTCCTCCCATCCCCAATTCCTTTGATTATTTCCTTTCCTATTTGTGACCCTAGGAAAAGCACATTCTCTTCCTAGGTTTTAACTTCGTGTAAAACCAGGGCGTGGAGTTAATTGAGGTTCCTTTCAGCTCTAATTTTCATTGATTTTCTGACAGTCATTTCTTATAGAATTGAACTGATGTGAAAGTAGTGCAGATGCTCCAAAGTTAAGTGGTTGTTTCAGAACATTCAAGGAAAAGCAAGCATTTGGGCTAGTGGTACCCATATTCCACATCTGAATGCCTGGGTTCAACTCCAGTTCCGGTTCCTCAATCCAGCTTTCTGCTGATGCAGAGCCTGGGAGGCAGTGCTGGTGGCTCATGTAGTTCTTGCCACTGACCCAGGAGGCCTGGGTTGAGTTCCTGGTTTCCAGGCTTGGTCCGTGGATATTGCAGACTTTGTAGAATGAACTAGGGTATTTGAACTCTTGCTCAGTGCCTTTCAAAAAAAAATAAGTTCTAGAAAGCAGAATTAAATGATAAACTTATTTCCAGACAAATATTTTGAGTTCTATATGTTGAGAGGGGAAATGCATACTATACATGGAAAATGCATAGTATGAAAAAATTGTACATGGAAATTGAAATTGTTTTGTACCAAGATCAGCTTTTTTAGTTTAAATTATTATTATCATTTTATGATACAGTTCCATTGCTCTGGGATTTCCCTTGCCCCATCCGCAGATCACCTCCTCCACAATGAGTTCCCCTATATTATTACAATAGTAGAGCTCTTCATAAACAGCCATAGGTCCATCATTGTGGACATGGACAATGGCAGATAATCCAGCATCCTATTGTCAAGATATATTGAACAATTTATTTGGCAGTCCATCTCTAACCTGGAAGTAGAGATGCATATTGCAAAACATCCTCACATCTGGATATGATAATCTCCATTACACAGTTACCATACATCTCCCTAAAAGAAAAGCCATAAAACAAAATCAATAACAAAAATAAAAATAGAAATTTACAATGCCATGAAGGTAAACAATATGTTACTAAATGACTAATGTGTTGCTGAAGAAATGAAAAAGAAAACCAAGAACCTTCTTGAAGAAAATGCTTATCTATATGTCAGTGAATAATTTAGTGAGAAAGTGTTTTGAAGAAATGAAGCTAAAAACAAAATAATCAAAATCCATGAGACAAATATAGTTTCCACTGAACTTTGTTGGTGAGATGTGTCTCCTGTAGGCAACAAATATATAGATGGGTTTTGTTTTTTGATCCAGGCTTATAATCTATTACATTTGATCAATAAGTTTAAACCATTTACATTCAGAGGTAGTGTGTATTGGTGGTAATTTGGCCCTGTCATTTTAGCAATGGTTTGTCCATTGGTTTAGTCTTCTGTTGTTATTTTACTGGATGTTCTTCACACTTGTCTTTTATTTTGGTGGGTGCTATTTCTTTTGTCTCTCAAGAGAATATTTTTAAGTATCATTTTGTAAGGTAGGACATTAAGAAGCATATTCTTTTCACTTTCTTTACTGTGGAAGAATTGGATTTCATTTTGAAAGACAAAGGAAAGCTTTGCTGGGTACATTATTCTGGGCTGGCAATGTTTTTTGCTTTTAGAATCTGGAATATGTTGCTCCATCCTCTTCTGGCCTGTAAGATTCCTGTGAGAGGTCAACTGTGAGTCTGATTGCCATTCCCCTATATGTCAATTGATTTTTTTCATGTGCATGTTTAAGGATCTTTTCCTTATGTTTGATTGAAGAGAGCTTGATTATCATGTGTTGTGGTGAGGATTACTTTTGGTCAAGCCAGTTGAGAGTTCTATGCCCCTCCTGGATGTTTCCCAATTCTTTCTCCTGATTAGGGAAGCTTTTTTTTTTTTTTAAATGATTTCTTTGTTTCCCCATGGTGGCAAGAAATATCTTCCAATTCTGAGATTCTTTCTTCTGCCTCCTTCATTCTATTATTGAGACATTGCACTGAATCTTTCATTTGCTCTATTGTGTCCTTCATTCCCAATACTTCAGCTTGATTTTGTTTCAGCATTGCTGTTTCCTGTGGGACATACTCCTTAAATTCCTTGAACTCCTGTATGTGCTGTGTGTTGTTGATAAGAAGCTTTATAATGAGTTTTCTGAATTTTGTATTGCCCATTTGCTTGATGTATTCCTCAGTTAATTCTGAGGTTGGCAAGAGTTTTTGCTCCTTTGCAGGGGAGTCTTCAGCAATTTTCATTGTGCCTCTGTCTTTTCTTCTGCTCTTGGTCGTTGTACTTCTGGTTGTCAGATTCTTCTCCTTAGGGCAGGTTTCTAAGCTGTGTCACCTACAGGTCTACAATTTGATTTTATGGCATGCGGTTGGTACCCAATTCTTTGTTCACAGTCACTTGTTCCACTCCCTCTAGTGAGTTTCAGATCTGTGCTCTTATGTTAGACTTCCACCATGGTCTCTGTAGCCCTTCTTGTTCACCACTCTCTGCTCCTGTGATCCCATGCTGAGGCTGCGCCATTTTCTCTACCACCTTTCTGCCACTTCTGGTTTGAGCAGGTCCCAGGAGTAGGGAGATACTAGGTGTCCTAAATAGTTAAGTTGTTATTGGTGCTGATCTTGTTGGAACCTGCTGGCCATTAGGTCTGAGGGCCACATAGACCTATTTTAAGTCATCAGATGTCAAAATCGGTTAGTTTTCAATGTGGGACCAGTGGAATGCACTGAGGTCAGTGAGTTCATTCCCAGTTCAGAGCATGCACAGCTCACTGTTATCCCTGCAGTT